ATATATCTTTTTAAAGAAAACAAATGTTTAAAACAGTTATTATAGTTTACATGTAAATTAAGACATGGAGAGAGTGCTTACAATTTCCCCAGTCTACTAGTGGCATCCTCGTACACAGTGAGTAATGCACTTTTCTGACTATCACTGAGGTCCTGCATTCCCTCCAGAGCAGCTTTCACTGCTGAGGATACTTTGTCCAGTGGAATCTCATAATCAAAAGGAATGGGGAGAGGCTGGCGGTGCTGTGTTTGCCAGGACTTATCTTCTGCCACATGCCCATTCAGAGGGAGACTACTGAAAAATATTCCCAAAATTTAACCTGTTTGCACAGTCTTAAAGCCAAATTTATGTGATATTAAGCCTTTAAATATCTTCTTTACTTAAAAATAAGAATAGAGGTACAATTGAGTCACAGAATCACAAATTGTTCTCTAACTTTTTTGTGTGGACCAGCATTCCCCCCCCCCCCCCCAAAAAAAATAAATAAAATAAAATAATTTTTTTTTCGGGTTATGAGAATCTAAATGAGACAACACCAAGTAATTTTGAATCCTGTCCTCTTATTTTATAGTAAAATTGTCCTCATCTACATTTTCATTATTTTCCAGGCCATATATATAAGGAAAGGGAGGTTCAGAGGGGGGGGTTACTAAACCATATTTTTGGCTGGAAAAGTTAGGTTCTGAGTCAAATTGGATTGAAAATACTTTAGGAATAACAGGTTCCTATAAAAAGGTCACTTTTTACTGAAAATGAACCCACGTCCTTCGAAAATGTTTTTATGCCCCCCCCCCCCAAATCCTTGTGAAGATATAAAAATAATGTGATGACACACACACACACACACACACACACACACACACACACACTGCTTTACATTAGATAGCTATTCTCATAAAAGTCTTCATTGTCTAAAATAGTACATATTCAAACAAGTTTTAAAGATTCACATACAATAAAAAGTATACTAGTATTCTGAGTCATCAACTCAGCATTATTTGATAATAGAATGGAGTGCGTGTGGGAGTGTTTTATCATTTTTCTAACACATCCTCTATGTTGCACAGGCCTTGTATAATCTACAATGGCAAACAGATATGAGGTTTGCTTAAACTAATTTTTATCTGAGCATGAGTGGAGTTGATGGGAATGAAAACATAAACATCATCGACATATATAAATTACATGACTATATTCCTACCTGTGCATCTTTCTCCTTCCCAGTTTTCTCTTTTCCTTCCTGGTAATTTTTAATAAATTCCTTGATAGAGCCATTCCTCCATGGTCCATCAATTGGTAAATCTTCCCTCGTTGGCTGGCGACCAAGTTTAGGCTCGTAAGGAGAAGCTGGTCCAAAAGTGTCCATGAGGCGTTTCTTGTAATCATCCTTATTGAACCCTTGAAAGAAATTCATTGTAAATAATTCAATTCAAATAAAAAAGATAACAGATAAACAAGCAAAGTTTAATTATAAAACCATAATTGCTAAAATTGCTTACAAGTCTGTGTCATAAACTTTTCAGCTTACTGGCCGTTTAAACCTCCACTTTCCTATAATCCAAAGTTCTAAATCAGGATTTAAACGGAAGTGGACACTGTCCCCTTTTGAAAAAATATTAGTACCCAGATAGCATGCATACGTTGGGCCAACGTTGGCCCAACGTTGCCTTGGTTGACCATGCAACGTTGGCCCAACGTTGGGTTTCCATCTAAGTGCTCACTTTGGCCAACGGTTGGCTGAACGTCTTTTTAATGCCAACGCATTGCCAACATATTCCCAACCAAACTGCGTTGGCCCTACATTGGGCCAACTAATAACCAACATTGCTCCAACAATTACCCAACCTGTAACCAACAGTGCATTTACGTTGGTCTTACTAATAACCAACATCAGTCCAACGATTACCCAACCAAACTGCGTTGGCCCTACATTAGGCCAACTAATAACCAACATTGGTCCAACAATTACCCAACCTGTAACCAACAGTGCAATTACGTTGGTTCTACTAATAACCAACATCAGTCCAACAATTACCCAACCTCAAACCAACAATGTATCCGCGTTGGCCCAATGGTAGGCCAACTGGTCACCAAGTTATCTGCAATTTGCACAACAAATTATGACCCAACCTAAAACCAGGGGCACAGTGATTTACAGTAACCCAACATTGAGCTAAAGGCAAAATCTTTTTTTTTT